TGAAAACCTTGACCAGGTGTCGATCTGCATGACTATCAGTATTCCATTAAGGTATATCGTAACTTTGTAAGCATCATTTGCCTTGTCATCATTATTCACATCAACGTTAAATAAACTGTGTTCACATAGGCGTAGCCAGGATTTTCATAAGGGGGGGGGGGAAATCAAAAAAGTACTGAGGGCTTTGCCCCCAGACCCCCTTTTGGGCTGGCCTTCGGATAGTCATAAAATATTTTTACAAATTTTAATAAAAAAAATAAGCCTGGAACAAATATGAAATATATTTTTATTAGTTTATATAAAATAAAAATATAATAAATTACTTGTATTGTATATACCTTAATATAAAAGCATGGTAATAATTTATTCCAAACAATTATAAGAAATTTATTTATAATAAGTAAGTAGACATATAGTTGATTTTACCCTATTATATAGAATTAGTTATAAAATACTAGGTAAAATTCCAATTTTACAGACATATTTGACAGTTAGAGAATATATTACAGTTAATAATCTGACAAAATTTACTAATCAATGCTCTTAATATTAAATATAGCAACAATATGCATACCATTATACGCCATCTATTTTATTTAAGTATATATAAATTTAATCTTCATATTATTCATCCCACAATGTCTTTAAAAGATATTTTCTGATGTCCTTATCAATATTTTATAGTTTTCTGTAAAATATATAATTCGCTATATTGGTAAAAATACTTGATTGTCATTTGATAATTAGATATATTGTAAATCGACGACATATAATATTCCACTGTTTATATTGTGCTTTAATATTTTTTTAATTTATGATTTAATTTTATCAAAAGTTTTATAATTATATTTTACTTTTATTGAGATAAATAAATTAAAATTACTCACTTTATAAAAAATTATATTTGATATATTATATTATTTAGTAATTTTATAGATCTATTATTAATAATTATAATACATTTCACTTCTGTCTTAAGACTTATCCTTGGCCTATATTCCATTTATTAAAAAACATTTTTGGTTCATTTTATATATTTATAAATTTATTTTCTCAAAAATCTATAAATTATGATGAATAGTTTTATAAAAAAATATCAACTTTTACATTCTTTCTTTTAAATTATTATTTAAGATATATGCATACATATATGAGGGTTAGGGAGTGGGGAGAGGACTAAGGGGGATATTTTTTATTAGCTATAAATGATATTTACAAAAAGTGATAAATTTCTGAAGGGGGGGGAATTTCCCCTTGCCCCCCCCCCTGGCTACGCCTATGTGTGTTCATTTTTATCATTATTATTCTCTTTTATTTCTTCTATATCGACGGTATTTATATTATTCGAATATCTGGATAGATTATTATTATTGTCTCTATATCTGTTGTTGTATGACTGATTATTGTTTCGATTATTATTGTATCTTGGTATGTATCTTGATTCGCTTTGATGTCCATAATATCTATAATTATTTTTATAATTATCATCATTATTATATCTATAGTTATTGTAGTTGTTATTATAATTATTTTTATAATTATCATCATTATTATATCTATAGTTATTGTAGTTGTTATTATAATTATTCTTATTGTTAATTATTATACGGTCCTGGCCCATTATATCCCCTATCATTATTGTAAACTCTAGGATTATAATTGTTTCGATATCTTGGTTCATAATTATTTGCATGTCTCGAATTAAAATTGTTTAAAATCGTGGATTGAAATTGTTTTGAAAACGCGGATTAAAATTATTCCCTTGATAATTATTTCTTTGATAATTGTCGTATCTAGGCTTCCATTGACTTCTGTATATGTTATTCGTTTGCTTATTTATCCCTCTATTGCGATCATCGTATTTTATTATCCTTCTATCCGTATCCGCTTGATTATCTTTCTGCATTTCTATTTGTTTTACTTCCGTTGTGTCTCCTTCTATTTTTATGTTATCTATTTTATTAATTATTTTATCATATGCTTCTTCTTCCTCAATCTCTTTTCCTTTTTTTATTATCTCTGATATATCTATACTTTCTATATGTGAAATTTTCTGACGTATCTCTTTATTAGTTTAAAATATTTTTATTCTCTCGATTTCTCTACTATAATTACTGAATCTGCATTTATTACTTAATATACATAATCTAGTTACCCAATTACTGAATGTTTCATTTTTATCTTGTACCACTTCACTAAATTCTTTTAGATACGTTATATACGATTTGTCTGGGTGTAATAGTTTGAATCTTTCAAGAACGATTGACGGATTGCAAAATTCTGTAAGAGTACATATTGCTTCTAGTTTAAGGTATTGTTCTTCAGGTAATTTTTGCGTGAATGCGTAAGCTTTTTCTGCGTCAGAATATTGTGGATCCTTAAAAATATTATCAAATTTTTTTAAAAAGACTTCAACACTATTATTATAATTTGGACATTCAATAATAGTATTTTTTACGTTTACTAAAGGTTTTATACTTTTATTATATCACATCAATATTTTATAACTAAAATATATTATATATATTTATTTAAATATAATACGATAAATATTGATAATTTCTTTAACGTCTCTGATATCGTTTTGCCTTCAGTATAAACAATCTCCCATTGGCATTAATATATTCCTTTCCATTTATAAGTTTAGGCCTGTTGCATGTCGTCAAGTCTATCATATCGTATTAGAATTATAGTTTTGCTTTCATGTAATTTATATGTCCAATCTCTTTTTTTATCATCAAAAATTCTTTTTATACTTATTTCTATTGGTAGCTCAATGATTAAGAAATATTCTGCCACCATTATAATTTACTGGAAGGCGATAAAAATTAAAAAATTATATTTTATTAATATTTATTTAACATTTTTAACACTAAAATATTTAACATTTTGTGCTCTATATATACATTTTAAATTTACATTTTTACGTATTAAAATAATAAGTTTTTTAAAAGGTTATATAAAAAAAGAATTTCGATAGGTTCGTCCTTATATTTTATAAAAAGTAAAAAAAAATTTACGAAAAGGTCATTTATAATTTAAAAAGAAAAAAGTATATAAATTTTATTCAAAATTTGTATATTAACAATTATCAATTCATTTATAAACATATATGCCTGAGGCATTTTTATTTTAATAAAAAGTAGTTATCTAGTTAAATTTTATTTGTGCATAAAAGTATATTTGTAGCCTATTTTTATCATGTAAATAATATATTATCAATTCATTTCAATAACTGTTTATTAAAAAATTTTATTGTTTAACTCTTCAAATCAGGTGGAAAACCCACATAATGGGCATGATTAGGTTGGTCTATGCAATCCCAAGCTCCAAAAAACCATTATAACTGCTGAATAATAAAACAAAATTAAAAATTATTTTGCAGATATATATACTTTACTTACAAATATTAAGCTAAAAGATCCATGCAAAAAAATAGGTAATAACATTTTTTATACAACTAGAGTATGTATATCTCCCCCCCCCACCCCTACATGCTATAAAGTATTAAGTATTTTTTCTGTAGTTATCATTTCAAATTATTTTATGAAAAATAAAGAAAAATTTTCTTATCATTTAGAATAATATATTATTAAATTTTAGAAGGTTAATTGTCAGTTTTGACTATTGGTCATAGTGATTAAATGTAAATATCTGTATTTACCCATGTATAATAAATAAAATTTGAACAAAAAAAAGCAAATTAATGCCTTAGAAGTTGCAGAAGGCTTAAAATCTAAGAAACCAGATAAATATAAAAAAATGTTTTTAATTCTTATTTATTAATAAAAAAATAGAGTATTTGAGATTATTACAAGGCATTTAAAATTTTATAAATTAATATTTTTTGATTAAATATTAGGGTGCTTTAAAAAAAACTTGGGTTCAAATTATTTTTTAATTTGCAGATGTTAAAACTAAAAATAAATTTTATGTCAAAATTCATCAAATACCATATAAAACTAAGGAATTTATTTTTAGGTACCTTTTTTATTTATATTTTTCATATTAAATATGGTTATAATTAATGGACATAATCAAAAAGTATTTATTTCATTCATAAATCCATACTCATATTTTTTAGTTTTTCAATTTGAATTGTTTGCTATAGGAGATTGTGTTGTGCATATGTAACTGTTTCAATTTCATAAGCTTAGGTTAATAAGTAGATCTTCTTGACTGTCATTGTAACATTTAAAAAAAGGCGTATCTTTAATTTATATTAGTTATTTCCTAATCCTTTCACAAAATTTATGTCATCTTAGTTTTATTTGAAATATCAGAATTACAGATCTGGACCATGCTTGATTTTAAAAATTGGGCTGGGCTATCATTTTTCATTTGAATTCAGCTAAAATTATTTTGATTTCATTTCCAGAATTCACCTAAAATTATTTTGAATGATATTGATATTTGAAAATATGGCTAAGTTCATCTTATATTCCTCTTAATTGTTACTCCTTAAGATCAATAAAAATACTTTTAGATTATTATAATAAAATATTACCTTAATAGATTTTCACAAGATAAAAATTATAATTATTAAAAAATGGAAGAATTAAACACATCTTTTAAATATAAGGGCATATCAGTTTTGAGCTTTAATAAACGAGGGTGTGATATTTAGTTGTGATATTTAGTTTTTTCACTAAATATCACGGGCGTTAGTAGCAGTCATGGCCTGATCATCTAAATACCGATCACATGGAACTGCAATGACAGGGAGGGCCTCCTTTGATCGTATTATTTTGATCGTAAAATGGTCCATTTGGTCCATTTTAGGTCAAAATGTACGATTTTTTTATTCATATGAATTTATAGGTTAGGGTTAGGGTTATGGTTAGGGTTAGGGTATTCATTTCTTCTTTTAACTAATAGTCTTAAATTATCAGCTACAGTATTAAGCATAATGTTTTTAAATGATTTTAATTTACCGCGATTAAATAGACCAATCAGAACCAAATTTATCAAATGACTTTATGATCAAAGTTAGGCAAATCCAATGACATATTTTTAGCAGATGGTTTAAACCTAAAACATTTCAGATAAAATAAAATAAGAAGATGGAAATGCAAGATATTGTAAAGATTGAGGAAGTTTTTTTTATAAATAGATAATAAAATTTATTATATTCTATTTTTTTTTATTAGGCTATAGGAAACTTTTACTGCAAAGGAATACATGATAAAAATATACATAACTATTTAAACATAATTCAAAATACAGAAATTGCTTTAAGGTTATGGCCACTCTTACAAAACATAAAAGTTTACAATTCAAATTTAATATTTTTTTTATATTGTATAAAAGAAAGTTTATATTTAAATCAGGGCTGGGCAAGTATTCTTGTAAATATATTTGAATATATACACTTGAAAAATAGTATTTAAAAATACATTCCCTATTGCCCTTTATAAAATTTTTATAGTACAAATAACAATTTTTTACTTAAAAGCATCAATAACCATTTATTACTTAAAAGCATCAATAACCATTTATATATACTTTATTGATGTTAGAAAATATTTTGATAAACCTTGTATCTAAAATTATTAGATGACATGTAGGGGATGTGGAGGCTCTATAAATACATAAAAGTATCTAGTATATGCTGCCCAACCCTGATTTAAAATTTATTAACATCATAAATTTACTATAATATATATAATATTCGAATGTTTCATATATAGAATAATTCTTGAAATATTTAATAGAAGCATCTTTACTAATATAAAAGTTATTTAGATTTAGAGAAATATTACTTTTGCTTTAATTATTTCATTCTTAAAATTTCTTATAAGTATAATTTATTTTATTTAAAGCCCATAGAAATTCGTTATTTTGCTGCTTCAACTCTCTACAAAATTGTTGATATGAAATGGTAAAAGAATATATATTTTTTAAAATATGATATAAATGCTACTTTTAGAGGAAAAAAATATAAAAATATTATTTTCAACAAATATTTATTATTTTTAGGTAAAACTTGATCAGAAAATTTTTTCCTTTAGAAAAAATCATCAAAAAATGAATATTTTAAAGATATTTTTCAAACTGGTAATTTTAGTTAGCTTAGACAAATAAATTATCATATATAATGATTGCTATACTTACTTACTTTAAAGTCCTGTTTTTTTCTTCTTTCTTCTGCTCAAGACCAGCCCAAAAAAATATTTATTTTTCAGACCCAAGAGCTCAACCTGACTCAAAAATTTATATATTTTTGTGCCAGCATAAAAATAAAATTCTATTTTAGGTATGGAGTTACTTTATTAAAGTTATGACTAAACTGTTGAATTGTCATAACTTTAACAGTAAACAAGATTTTTTAAAACTTTTTTTTAGAATAATTATATAATATCATTTTATATAAAAAAATATAATGAAAAATAATTACATTTGAATTAATGTTTGATATGTCTTCTAAGGTTTTGTTTTTCATCCTCACTGTCCAAATTAAGAAAATTTTGGGTACTTTAATTGGGCATTTAATAATTTTACTAAAATATATTATTGAAGTAATTTTTAATGTATATTTTTGTAATTCTTGAAGTATATTTTTCCATAAAATCATATTTTTCATGTGTATTCAAATTCACAAAATTATCCAAAAATAATAAAATAAATATTTTACAAAAAATAACAACAATTTAATACATAACATTTTCCCTAATCTAATTGGTTTTGTCTGTATTATTTTCCATTATCAATCTTGACTTGTAGTTTCTAACTTTTGTGTAATATTTCCTATCAGCATCTTGACTTGTATCATTATCCTCCCTCTAGATAGGTTCATTTCATCGTTATTGTTTACTACGTCCTCTTTGTTTACTATCTCTTTGGTTCTCTCTTCTACTTCGTACTTTGGTTAATATATTTCTTTCTTTTCCTTAATTGATCAGTATGACCTATAACCGTTTTGCCCTCTATACTTCATATCGTAGTGATCCAAATTTTATTAATGGCCTTTTCCATTTTTTTCTTTATTATTGTAAATGCGCGACCATGCTTTTTCATTCTCGAATTTCTGAGTGTAATATTCTAACTTCTCTTTTTTGTTCCCCCATTCGAATATTTGGTCTAACAATCCTCTAGGTTTAATTTTTAGTAGCATTTCAGTGGGACATGGTTCATTTTCTGACCCTGATGTATTTCGGTAATTGTTGAGAAAAATAGCTAAACTAGTTTACAAATTCTCCTCGTTTCTTTAATTCATGCTGTATAAAAGTTCGAACTAAACGTTCGGCCATGCCGTTAGTCTGATGATGGTATGGATTCCGTGTGGTAATTGTATTCCGTGAGCTAATTGTATTCCGTTTTTTTTCGCAAAAATCATTGAATTCTTTACTGCTGAATTATGGCCCGTTATCAGAAACGATTATCGTAAGATCCGAATCTAGCAAAGATATTTCTTAATATTTTTATCGTGCTTTCGATGGTTATACTACTATTTCTGGCCAGTGACTACTAGCATCTATCACTACTGTTTTATTTTGAAATTGTAATGCCAGATTAACTGTTATGCCACAATTAAATATATCACCAAAATTACAAATTTAATACAATTAACTTTATTTATGCTATAAAATTACAAAAAAACAACAATACGTAAATTTTATCACACTTAACATAATTTAAAGCTATAAAAAAAAACTATCTCAAAAAAAACTTTTTTCTTTCTTAAAATACAAAATTTAATACATTAAAAAATCATTTATCCTTCATTCAATTTAACATTGTAAATGATTTAATCGCTTCCTTTACAATTTTACATATATTTATTTTTATTTATCTTTATTAGTCAAATTTTCTCGACATTCACAACACCTCTTCCCTTAGATACCTCTATCTAGGGAACCTGACGTGTTTCTTCATTCAATAATTGCGGTGTCTCCTCTTGTACTATTACTCGTTTCCCATTGATAGTAATTCCTTGACTTGTATAATATCTCATAAGATAGTCTCCTTTACACGCCCAACACTGTCTGGGTCGAGGCTGATCATATGGGACTTCTCTTCCTTCGCTCTATCTTGTTGGGGTATTTCCTCTCATCTCGTCTATCATTTCTCCATACAATCTCGTCGCCTCCTCTCTTGCCAATCTCAGCCAGTTCCGTGATATCATCGATCCATCTATTTCCTTTCGGTATTGTTATGATATTATCATTTTAGTTCTCCATAGTAAACAACCTCTCCCTGTTGTGATTTCCTCTTTTTTTGGCTATACTCCTTTAAGCATATATCGTAGTTTATTGGCCATTCGTCTATTGTATACCCTGTATTTGATCAAGTGTTTCTTTTTTGGATATTGTGGTTCCCTGTATAGGTAATCAAGATAGCATGTCATCATTGGCTATACTCCTTTTGAATTCACTATTTGCTAATAATAAAACCAGGGATCCAAACCGAAACAAATATCGGTTCGGATAAAAATAACGGTCCAAGGTTCAGGTTCGGTTCGTAAAAAATAAATATATCGGGTAGGTTCGAACCTCCAAAAACCGGTTTGAACATTTTTGTATTCAAATCTACATTCGAATTATGTATAGGTAGGTATATTTTTTTTATTTCATCATTAAAATTAGTTTTGCATAATCGGCTAATTAAACTACGCCTAAGCCTAATAAGGCTAAGCCTAAAAATCGGCTAAACTTAATTAGGCTAAGCCTAAAAATTGGCTAAAATAAATTAGTTAAAAATGCTGCATCGATGCCTAGCATTAATTATTATTTTTTTATTTTTGTAAAACAATTTATTTTATTTATATTTAATGTAAATATTTTATTATTATCAGCAAATAAACATATGATTTAATATTTTTTATTTATATTGTTTTATTTTGAAATAAAAATAAATTTATTTATTTGATTTTTTTTAATAAAGAAAATAATATGCTGCTATTGTAAAAATGTAATATTCTTTTTAATATAATTTATTAGTGATTTTTACAATCTTCTTTGTAAATACATCTTTTATTGAGGAATTATATTGCAAATTTTATTAGATAAAAAAACAATCTTTTAGGTGAAATCTTTTATAATTTTTTTTTATCAATTTTGTAAAATTATCTTTTTTTATTAAATGAGGTGTTTTTTTAAAATAATTATTTAAAAATATTTATATTAAACTTTTTTGATGTTATTTTTATATGAACTTTTTAAGGATAATATTTTTTAATGTGAGAATTGTCATAATCGTTATTTTTAAAGTTTTTTCAATATTTTTGACGAATATATGTTAAAATAAGTATTGATAACATGTTTAACCCATTAATGGTCAAGATTTTTCTAGTGGATAAAAATGCTCAATTTTTTCAAATTATATTGATTAATGCTCAAATATGATATTCTAAAAAAATCAGCCAAAAAAATAATCCTAAATAGAAAATCTAGCCTGGTGCATATATGCACCGTTAACCATTAAGAGGTTAAAAAAGATAAAAATTATATAAAATACTATAAGATCAAAAAAACAACAAATATCTTTATTCTTTTTTTGTAATTTATAATAAAAACGAGAAAATGTTTATATATTATGAAAATCCTTGAAACATTTAATATGGAGTGCGATTTGACATGTTTGGCACATATATCTTGAGTGCGTATGGCAATATCTGCATCTTCGTCTTTTTCCATCTATAATTTTGGATAAATAATGTCCATATGAATCAATAGGGTTTTCACACTGTAATGCAAACTGGCTGGCGTGACCTGTACTTGAATTTTTTTCAATTTTTACTGGCGTTCGAAGGAGGTAGTTAGTAACTTCTCGTCTAAATGCAAGCAAACTCTTCTTGTCATCTCGATTCACGAATTTCCAGATTTTCCATGAATTTACCAAAGCTACATCAATAAAATTGGTGAATATTGGCCACCACCATTTTTTTCCTCTTATTTTTATTCTATATGTAGATATTAGATTATCACATAGATCAACTCCACCCATGTGTTTGTTATAAGCAGTTACCATATTTGGCTGAGGAATTTTTATTTTAGAAGATATTTTCTTAGAATATCTTGAAACATTAGAAAGCAAAGAGATAGTGTGGCATGTCGATGCAACGGTCACCACCGAATTATCATTCCAACGAACTACAAATATTTCGTTTAATTTTTCAAACCTATAATCATAATATCCTCTTTCTTTTTTTGCTACAACCTTTATAGATTCAACTGGGCAATGCTCTATTCTATTGTCCCTCACAGTTCCAGTTGCAAAATATCCCATGTTTTAAGTATGACAAGAGTTTAAATGATGTAAAGAAATTATCAAAATATATTTTATGATAATTTGGTTTTTGCAATGCCTTTAATAATTTTATGATTACATTTCCACCTAATCCATATTCATATTTATTTTCGCTTTTTCCTTGATATATATCAAATGAGAATACGTAACCGTCGGAAGAGGCCAATATCCAAGACTTGTATCCGAATCTAATTGGTTTTCCTTTTATGAACATTTTGCAAGAATGTCTTCCTCGATATGGTATCATCTGTTCATCTATTGATAAATGATGTTTAAAAATTCCGAATTGCTGAAATTTATTATTCAATATATTAATGTAAGGCCTAACTTTATAAAATCTATCATGTATATCTATTTTAGTATTGTCTGCCAAATGGATATTATATTTCAAATTTCGAAATTGTAATTGGGTCATTGTATCCCGGATTATTGGAATAGAAATATCGCTGTCATTAGACCAGTACATTCTTTCTTGTGGGAGAGAATGATATCCAGTAAATAATAGAATTCCAATAAATCTCTGAATATCTTGGATGGTTATGCATATGTTAGGTCTATTCATTTGTTTAGCATAAATATTACTTTGTTCTACAATTAGGGAATATAAGTCTTCGTCGAAAATTAAACAAAATA